GCTCCTGATCTGCACCCATTGGAAGCCTTTCAAACTGGTTCCAAACAACATAAGTATGCTTCCTTTTACGTTTAGAAATACTGGTTGGATTCTTGGAATTAGCTTTAGGCTCAACATCCGCCTCCAACTCCAATAAAATAGGTGCATCACCAGTAGCAGCAGCGGATACGGTAGTGTTGTCTGACTCTAAATTTACTCCAACACCATCTTGCAAATCATCTATCTACAAATCATATCAAATGCACAGGAAAAAAGAAAAAAGTTTGAAGTAGGAAAACAAGATTAAATCCTCTAAACCGTAAAAGAAACTCATCAAGTTGCTTGCAAGTTGTACTAAATGTTTTCATCATCACCTCATTTAAATTCATCAAATTGGGGTAAAAGCCTAAAAGGGAAGAAAAAAAAAAAAGCTAACCTACAAGTTGTACTTATTTAAATTCATCAGATTAAATAAGCTCATTTTCCCCTATTATTTAAGGAAACCATTTTATGGAAACATGTCTAAAGAGACAATGTCATACAGATTCATCACCCTTCATGTGTCAATTACTTTAAAAAGAAAACAAGAAAGACAGCCACTAGTAAATTAGGCTTTAAAAAAGCTAACCTGTCCTCACACATGATATGATACATTTACGTACTTTATGATCACTAATAATTAGACCATTCACACCGTCACTTTTAGTATTTACTCATTGGGGTCAAGATTTTCTCTAGCTCGTGCTTAGGTTAAAAGTTAAAACGATTACATTGTAAAAGGTTGCAATGGCCACCGATTAAATTTTACGAGCAAATCAATTCTTATGTTGATGATTCTACGTTTTAACAAGATAGAATAAAATTATAAAAGAATGTTTTACTCCAAGAAAGATATCATATTAAAGGATATCGTGGGTTCAACTAAAGTTTAGACTGTTGAATTAATAATATGTTTCGTGTCTATATTTTTTGTTAAATAATTTACATAAATACATCTCCAAATTATAATATATCCCCTAGCAAAGAGATGGACATTGTAGGGATAGAGCCGGGGCTCATCTCACATTGCAAAATGGTTTCCATTATGAATACCCATCATCGCAAATATAAAAAAGACTAAAAAAAATTGAAACTTTTCTTTAAAAAAAAACAAAAAAAAACTCTTGAATAATAAACAGAACAACATACATATCGGCCTCTATCCCTCTCCCACGCATTTCATCAAACACCTTCACTGCCTCCCCAATCTCCCCACAACTACCAAACCACTCAATCAAAAGTGTAAATGTCACAGTATTGAAACAAACTTTTTCTTTCTCCATCAATCTCAAAACCTCATTAACAACAAAATGTGAAACGGCAGTTAAGATAAAAAGGAGAAGAAATCAGGAACCAGCCATCGAAACAAACAAGAGTGCGACAAAATAGTACCTCATCTTCGTGCCGGTGAAGATCCAAGAAGCAGCAGCGGTGAGGACTGAGGCGGTGGCCGGTGAGGACGGAAGCGGGTGAGGCGGGTGAGACTTGAGAGACCGTGAGATGAGACTCAAGAGAATGAGAGAGAGAGAGTACTGAGGCAGGGAGTCAGGGACGGCATGGGGAGGGAGAGGAGTTAGACTTAGGGTTTTGTCTAAAAATTTACATATATATTTGGGCATATTAAACGGGTCGGTCCGGGTCGTGCTGTGTCGGCCCGATAATGACATGTTTAATTAAACATGTTAAACAGGCTCGCACGAATCCAACCTATTTATTTTCGTGTTATTCGTGACAGCCCATTAATGACTTAATTAATAATCGTGTGGTCCAAATCCATTTATCTCGTGTCATTTTTGTGTTATTTCATCGTGTTTTGTCTGAAATTGCCAACCCTAATTGTCATTGGTTAGCTTGCTCTTTATATATAGGAAATATTGTTGCTACGTATTAATTGGTTCTGTAAATTGTGTCCTTTTCTTCTTCTTATGCCTCACATCTTTCGTTTTCTCCCCTATTATTGATCATTTACTAGTGTGTTTTGTCTTGGCCTATTTACTGTTCCATCCTATTACCTGTCTCTTTGCCTTCTACTTGGTTGATTGAGATTCGTTATTTAAGGCAGTGCTCACAATATTTCAGGTACTATTAATTTTTGTCCATATTCTTTTAATGTTCATTATTGATATTATATCCGTTTGTTTCGTTACTATTATTTTGTGTTATTTCTGACACTACTGACAAAAATAAACACTTTTTTATTGTCAATAAATTGCAGTGATCCATAATTATTTTTTTGTGGTGTTTATTTATTTTATAGTAATATATATAGATAATTCCCTATTTTTAGTTAGTATGTTTTATCTTTAATTAGTATGTTTTATCTTTAATTAGTTTTAGTGTATGCCAATGATTATTACAACCGGTTTTTACTGTTCACTGCCATGTTATTTATTCAGATGTTGCTATGGATATATTTGCGGTTATTTATATTCCGATTTTGGACTATGATTTTGCCAGTATTTTTTACGTAGTAATTCTCTAGATATTTTCTTTTTTTCCCCTTTCCTTTCTTCTTTACTTTAACATTTTTGGCTTTCTGGTTACCTAGCTTCATCTTGGCTTATTCAGTGCTTAGTGCTCTAAGTTGTGTCTCTTTTAGCTGTGTTTGGTTAGCTTACACTCTGTATTTGAAGCACTGTTCTTACCATTGCAGGTACTGTAAATAATTTTTTAACCATATCTTCTTAACATTCGTTATTAATAATGGATATATTAGTTTTTCGAGCTGCTATTACTTGTTGATTTTTATAGTGCCGATAAAAATCTTTCTTTGTTGTTATGACTCCTTTTTTCCATTTTGTTAGTTGTTACATCATGGTCGAGCAATAGACCATTCTCTCGAACGACAAGCAACGAGGCTTCCCCATTGAGAATCGGTTACTGGCCTCGAGGGAACCACTGTAGCTAAGGTGCCCTTTGAACGTCGAGAGCCCATGCAGAATAACGGACGTCGAGCACCTCGCTCGACCTATGGTGACCATTACGTCGAGGCAGTAGGTCCAGTCAAATCCATTAACAATCTTATCAACTCAGGGAAGGATGCATTGTACCAACTGCTACTGTCGAAGTCAATAAATCAGGTAGTCGGTAAGAGAGATTAGTCTAATTTCTTGAGATTGTCATCATGAAAATGCACCTACGCGTTCCTAAAATACAGGGATAGAAGATGGCTCCCTCGGGGAATGCAAAGGAGATCTTTCACATGTAAATGCTTATAAATAGAGCCAAAAAACCTCATTGAAGGGTTACGCATTGTTTAATTACTAAAAGAAGAACCTGTAATATCAGAAAGATTAGTGCATCCACAAGTGGACTAGGCCAAGAATTCTTGCCGAACCACTATAAATTCTTGTCTACTTTACATTATTTTACGGTTTTGAGCTTTAGCTAATCCGTGAGTGATTATCGTGAGTGTCTTTGGAGAGTTAATCACGCGTTGTCAGAAAATCACCGTCAACAATTGGCGCTGGAAGGAGGGCCACTAAATCCAGAAATTGAAACTAGTAAAAAACAGCAACCATGCCTCCAAAAAACACTCGCAGCCTGATGGCTAATCAGAAAGGAAAGGAGGGCCAGCCTCTCGCCGTCGCAGGGACATCAACGAATCCACCATTACCGGCCGCTAGAAATCTCCCAGACCGTATTGGCGAGCTCCAAAAGCAGGTCGAAACACTTGCTGCAGCCATGGAGAGAATGGCTACGGCCCTCACTGGGCGGGATCAAGGGCAAAACTCAATGCCGCCGTTAGAGGATACGCCGATGAACCCGGTGAACGCCGCCGTTAGAAACCAAGTGATTGGTGACCAATGTGGTGACGCCGAGGGGGTCGGTGATAGTGGGGCCAATGACCCCCGCCCAGCCACGTCGAACAGGTCCGTAGGAAGCAGGCAACGGGTGGCGAGGAGGAGAGCCCAGGAAAGGGCTGCAACACAAGCTATGAATGACCGGGACGCGCCTCCTCGATCGTAGCAGGACGCTAACAGGAGGAACACTGTCCCAGTGGAATCCTCATTCGTGCACAAGGGAGACCTTAGGGGAAAGCTGAATCCTCAGCGCGACCGAGACGCACAGCGAGCCAAAGAGGAGGAACTCGCAGCTGAGAACAAGGCTCTGGCTCAGAAGATGGCCAGATTAGAAAAGAAGATAGGGAGTCAGCTGAACAACTTTGAGCAGGTCGTGGGAAAGGTGGCCGAGGCGATAAACGTCGACGCCAAGATGTACACGTCCCACGACCACCCGTTTACAGAAAACATCATCCGGGTACCCTTGCCTGACAAGTATAAGCCACCCCCTATCTCGTTATACGATAGAAGAAGTGATCCAGATGATCACTTAGAAGTCTACACGGGGCATATGGTCCTACATGGGTACCTTGAGGAGGTCATGTGTCGGGCGGTCAGGAATCACCTTTCTGATTTCGCTAGGAGATGGTTCAGGTCCCTGAAACTGAACTCTATTACTAGCTAGGATGATTTGAAAAACGCCTTCCTGATTTAGTTCATAGGTGTCAAAAAATACATCCCGCCCAAACAAAACCTTTCGAGGGTGTACCAGGGACCTAACAAGTCCCTAAAAGACTGGATAGCCCGGTTTGGGGAACAGGTTGCCACCACTGAGGGAATCTCCGACGAGGTAGCCCTGATGGGGGCACTGTCAAGCATGAAGAAGGACACCCCCTATAGTACAGACCTCGACTGGAGGCCACCCTAAACCTACCAGGAATTCCTGACGAGGGCACAGGGATTCATTAACGCCGAGGAAGTGAAGAAGGCCTTGAAAAATAAGGCGGTAGCCCCTGCCAAGGAAGATGCAGGGCAAGCGAGCATCCAAAACAATGGCAAGAAGCGCCGAGGTAACCATCAGGTGCAAGTCGAGCAGAGGTACAACCCGGCTCCAAACAATAGAGGCGGCAATGCCTCGGCGGACCAGGGGATAACAAGTGACCAAAGTCGTAAAAATACAATGCCTACACCCCCTTAACCATGGGGATCGAGGATGTCTATCACGAGATTAGTCACCTTCAGGTATTGCGTCGACCACCACCGCTGAAGTCTAACCCAGCGCGGAGAAACCAAAGCAAGTATTGTAGGTTTCACGGTGAGAGTGGACACACGACAGCTGAATGCTATGACCTGAGGGACGAGGTCGAGAGATTGATCCGAGAGGGGAGGCTCAGTGAATATCGAGCCGACCATCGGAACAACAACAATCAGCGAAATAACGACCGGCGGGAAGATCAAAGGCATGACAATCCGTCCAAACCCGTCGGTGTTATAAGAACAATATTCGGAGGGCCATACCTCGGCAGCACCTCTCGCCGTGCGCAGAAGGATTACGCAAGGGAGGTAAAAGACAAGTTCAACCGGAGGATTATGAACGTCTCCGGAAGAGAAGCCAAGGCCGCACGATACAAGGAGGCCGCGATCACATTCTCGGAGGCCGATGCAAACGAGGTGCATTTCCCCCAAAGTGACGCCCTAGTTGTGGAGACCATGATTGGTATTGGTAACCACATGGCTTGCCACATCCTGGTCGACAATGGTAGTTCGGTGGACATTTTGTACTCCGACTGCCTCGACAAGATAGGGATTTCCTGAGTGAGGTTGCAAAATAGCGCACAGCCTCTATATGGCTTCACCGGGGACAGTGTCATCCCAAAGGAGGAAATAGAACTGCCCATGACCATTGGAGACCGACCACACACCTCGACCGTAATGTCAAAGTTCTTAGTGGTGAAGGGAGGTGACCAATACAATGTGGTTATAGGGCTCCCGACATTGAGGGCATTGAAGGCGGTTACGTTCATCTGTCACCAGATGATGAAATTTCCAACTCCCAACTGGATCAGAAAAGTCTGAGGAAATCAGTATGAGTCGAGACTCTCGTACTCAGAGACGGTCCGCCACTACGCCGAGCCAGTGCAAGCGAGGAAAGAAATGAGAATGGTGGTGGAAACCAGGGAAGAGTTCGATCTGGATCTGAGGCTCCCAGCCGGAGAGATTGGAACGGGACCGATCGAGGAGTTGACTGAGGTCCCCATCGATGAGAAAGAGCCTACAAGAAGGTTGAGGGTGGGCTCAGAGCTGGGAGAGCAGGCTCGTGAAGGATTGATCGAGTTCCTCAGAAGCAACCTCGACGTGTTTGCCTGGACTCACGAAGACATGGAAATGATAAGCCCTGATATCGAATGTCACAGGCTAAACATAGATGAAAAATATCCCCCCAAAAGGCAAAAGCGTTGACCGATGAATGCCAAAAGGTATGCAGCTCTACGGGAGGAGGTCGACAAGCTAATAAAAAACAGCTTCATCCGATAAGTCCTATACCCTGAATGGGTATCAAACCCTGTATTGGTGTTAAAGCTGAACAGGAACTGGCGAACCTGCGTCGACTTCAGTGACTTAAACAAAGCTTGCCCGAAGGACAGCTTTCCACTCTCAATGATAGATCAGCTAGTCGACACCACAGCGGGGCACGAACTCTTTAGTTTTATGGACGCCTATTCTGGCTATAACCAGATACCAATGTTCCACCGTGACGAGGAACATACATCGTTCATCACTGACAGGGGCCTTTACTGCTACAAAGTCATGCCCTTTGGCCTCAAAAATGTGGGAGCAACCTACCAGCGCCTCGTCAATAGGATGTTCGCGGAACAACTGGGAAAGTCAATAGAGGTGTATGTGGGCGATATGCTGGTAAAGAGTAGGAAAATTGAGAACCATGTGAAGGACCTTAAGAGAATGTTCGATGTCCTCAGGATGTACAGAATGAAGCTAAACCCCCACAAGTGTGCGTTCGGCATCGGGTTTGGAAAATTTTTAGGGTTCATGGTGAGCAGTCGAGGAATTGAGGCAAACCCAGAAAAGATACAAGCACTCCTCAATATGAGGTCACCGAGGAAGCCTAGGGAGGCCCAGAAGCTGACGGGCTGTGTGGCTGCACTCAACATTTTTATTTCAAAATTCACAGACAAGTGTATACCCTTTTTTGATACCCTGAGAGGGAGCAAGCCGTTTCAGTGGACGGAGGAGTGTGAACAGGCATTCCAACAATTGAAGGAACACCTTGGAAAGCCACCTCTGCTATCCAAGCCAGCGGCCGGGGAAGTGCTGAGCCTGTATCTGGTGGTCTCGGAATACGCCATTAGTTCGGTGTTGATCCGCGAAGAGAAAAAGGTGCAAATACCATTGTATTACACTAGCAAGCGCATCCTCGCGGAGATGAGATATCCCCAGATGGAAAAGCTCACCCTCGTGCTGGTTGTGACCTCAAGGAAGTTGCGCCACTACTTCCAGACCCATAGCATTTAGGTCTTGACAAACCACCCTCTCAGGCAAGTATTACAAAAGCCCGACGCTTCTAGTTAACTCCTAAAATAGTCCATAGAGCTCAGCCAATTCGATATCGACTACAAGCCACGGACCGCCATCAAGGGCCAAGCCCTGGCTAACTTTGTGGCATAATTCGCGGGGTTACCAGAAGAAGTAGAGCTGGATGACGTGCCGCTCCGTTGGAAGCTCTACGTCGATGGGAGCTCCAATGACAATGGCAGTGATGCGAGATTGGTGCTACATACGCCAGAGGGGCATAAGATAACCTCGGCCATCAGGTTTGAATTCCCTGCGTCCAATAATGAAGCCGAATACGAGGCGCTACTGGCCAGACTCCGGTTGGCAGAGCACTTGAAGGTGGGGAACATGGACATCTTCAGTGATTTGCAGCTGGTTGTGAATCAAATAAAGGGCCAATACTAGACCTGGGATGAGAAAATGGCCATAAATCTTGAGAAGGTCAAAGAGGCCTTGGAGAAATTCACGGCCTATGACATACAGCAAGTGCCGAGAATGGAGAATAGCAACGCCGACGCCCTCACCAGGTTAGCCACATCGAAAGACGCTGAGCTGTTAAAGCTAGTGCCCGTGGAAGTTCTAAAGGCCCCTACCACCGAATGAAAGCCTGATGTCATGCCAGTAAATTGCCAGCCAAGCTGGATGGACCCAATCATCAGATATCTGGTCGACGATGAACTCCTGGAAGATAGACAGCTAGCAAAGAGGATGAGGTATCAAGCGTCGAGGTACACGATGCACGATGATATCCTTTATCGAATGGGGTACTCGACGCCCCTGCTCAGGTGCCTCGGTGAATAAGAGGCAAATAAGGTGCTCTCGGAAGTACACGGCGGGATATGTGGAAACCACGCAGGGGGCAATCCTTAGCATACAAAATACTATGGCAGGGGTACTGTTGGCCTAATCTCAAAAAGGATGCAGCTGAGTATGCGAAGAGGTGTGAAAGCTGCCAAAGGTACGCCCCCACTCCACGACTGCATTAAGAGGACTTAACGTCGATAGTCTCTCCTTGGCCTTTTGCTAAATGGGTGATTGACCTTATTGGTCCACTACATAAAACCCCTGGGGGATATAAGTTCGCCATTGTAGCAGTCGACTACTTTACCAAGTGGGTAGAAGCCGAGCCGCTGACGACCATATCAGAGGAAAAGTGTACCAACTTCATATGGAACAATACAGTTTGCAAGTTTGGTGTACCACATTCTCTCATGTTAGATAACGGGAGACAATTCAACAACGACAACACAAACCAGTTTTGCGAGCTATTGGGAATTCATAAGAATTTTTCCTCTGTTGTTTACCCGCAGTCCAACGGGCAGGTTGAGGCGGTCAATAAGATCATAAAGGTCACGCTTAAGCGATGTCTCGACAGCTACAAAGGAAAATGGGCAGACGAGTTGCCAAAAGTCCTGTGGGCCTACAGGACGACGAGTAGGACTACCACGGGGGAGACTCCCTTCTCGATGGCCTATGGAGCCGAGGCAGTCCTTCCAGTCAAGGTATCTATTCCGACCAACCGAGTAACTCAGTATGAGGAGGATAGGAACGCCGAGCTAATGGACTTGGAGCTCGACCTTCTGGAAGAAAGACACACGGACGCGCAGCTGAGGCTCGCTGTGTACCAAGCCAAAACTACCAGATACTACAACAAAAAGGTCAAACAAAAGCGCTTCGGGGTTGGTGACTTGGTCCTATAGGTGGTGACCCCAAACACCAAGCCTAAGAACTCTGGTGCCTTAGGCCCGACTTGGGAAGGGCCCTACAGAATAAAGGAGGTCGTGACTAATGGGTCGTATCGACTTGCAGAGCTTGACGGTCGAGACATCACGCACACTTGGAATGCAGACCAACTGAAGGTTTACTACCAATAATTACGAGGAACGTCGACCTAAAAGGTTAAACTTAGTATTTTTTACTCTTATTCTATTTCATTTTTCTGCAGGTTGAAAGGTCGACTTGTAAATTCTACATAAATGAAAGGCAAATTGCATTGTCTACTTTGTCAACTCTGTTCTGCGTCACGATCAACTTTGTTATACGGGCTCAACCATCTACTATCTACGTTTTTCTTAGAAAAGTCGATACGTCGACCAAAAAATATCGATATGTTGACTAAAAATGTCGATACGTCGATCGAAAAATGTCATAACGTCGACCATGGTGCGTCAAAAACAAGTCCAAGACTTTATTTTTGGCGAGGGGGTAATAAGGCCAACAATAGGGCCCCCCAAAACCTGCAAAGGCGGTGAGCTCTGGCTCAACCATACTTAGCAAAATTTTTTTTTTACATACGTAATATCTACAGCATCCATACACAAAGTGAGCAAAGCAAGCATATGCCTATATAGTACAGTAAAAATATATGCGTCTCGACCTTATGATCATTACAAACTAACAAATATAGCTCGGCCTCACGACCTTTCAAAAAAAAAGAGAGAAAAATATAAACAACAAAAGTAGAGGAAACCCCTCATTGCTCGCTGCCGTCCCCCGGTGCCTGCTCACCGGCGTCTCCCAGTGCCTGCTCGTCGTGCCCTGGTGCTTGTTCAGCGTTCCCCAGTGTCTGATTGACGCCCCCAGCTTCCTGGTCCAGCTCAACTATCTCCACCTCCTCACTGTCTGGCTCATCAAAGAATGATAGGTCGACATCTGGGCACTTTCGCCTAAAGCGGTCAAGGATCTGCTCCCCGACGGACCTCATTAAAGACATCTGAAGCTCCTCGAACTCAATAGAGGCTTTGTAGGCCTCAAATCTGTGAGTAAGGAGACCGTCAAAAGCCTCAGAAGACTCAAAGTGCTCCACCTGGAGGTCAACCAGATCCTTGAATTCCTGGGAGGACTTGAAGGCTTCCAGGCGGGACTCGATTGCTCGGCCGAACCCCTCAGAACGCGGGAATTCCTCAATCACCTCCCTTTTCTTCTACTCGAAGATGGGAGATGCGAGGTACGCCTGGACCGCCAAGGAGCACCCCACCTGGAAGCTCGCCTCCTTCTCCTTTTCAATGGTCCCTTTGAGGGACTCGAGCTTGGCCTTCTCAGCATCCAAGTCAAAAGAGACCTCGTCCCGAGCAACGTGTAGAGCAGCAACCTCCTTCTCTGCCACCCTCGTTGACGCTTCCCGCTCCAGCAGGCACTCCAGCTCCATGTAGTTTAGGAGCGCAAGCTCAAGAGCCTGAACCACCAAAAGAAGGAAATATGTTCAAGGCATGGAAACTGGACACTCAACTGATAGAGGTCGAGGG